GAGCCCCGGGCTGTCCCCAAAAATGAGCAGTGAGAGCCCCGGGCTGTCCCCAAAGCAGAGCAGTGAGAGCCCTGGGCTGTCCCCAAAAATGAGCAACGCCAGCACAGTGGGGTTACACAGGATCAGGTGTGCTGGGTCCTCTCGTTTTTCCCAGGTTTTGCAGCAGTGTGGTGACCTGGGGGACAAGGATTCATTTTCCAGCTGCCACAGGATGGAAGGGGATGGCTGCAGTGTGGAGAAGGGAATGAGGTGGCAATGGATGGAGAAGGCCAGGCTGGACGGGGCTTGGAGCAATCTGGGACGGGGGAAAGTGTCCCTGTTCTCGGCAGGGGTGGGATGAGATGGGGTTGAAGGTCCCTTCCCACCCAAACCATTCCATGATTCTCTGAGCAGCTCTGAAATGCTCAATGTGCCAGACATGCTGAATGAATCAACCTCCTTGGGATCATTGACCATTATAGCGCACTCAAACGAAAAAAAAAATAACATTTAGACAAATGGCTTTGGAGTACAGGATGTCTGGATAATTTTATGATTCCCCTTTGGAAATGCTTGTAAATGTATTTCCCAAAAGGAAACAAAAAAATGTATTTCCCAGAAAGGGGAATAAGTGTATTTCCCAAAAAGGGAAATATTTGTATTTCCTAAAATGAAAAACAAGTGTGTTTTCCCAAAAAGGGAAATCAATGTATTTCCCAAAAAGAGAAGGGAGCATGCTTTCCTTCTCCAAATTCTCTTCAAATTCTCTAAAGCTGAGCAGGGTGTGAAGAGGCAGAGAGCTTTACTGGGCTCAGATGTTTCAGGACTTGCAGGTGTTTATCAGCCAGATACCTCTCGTTCCTGCCCCTGCAATTCCCACTCCTGGATCCCTCTTGGTTCCCACTCCTGGTTCCCTCTCGTTCCTGCCCAATTCCCTCTCCTGGTTCCCTCTCGTTCCTGTTCCTGCCCAATTCCCACTCCCGGATCCCTCTCATTCCTGCCCCTGCAAATCCACATTTCCTTGCCATGGAAGTCAGATTTCACTCCCAGATCCCTCTTGTTCCTGCCCAATTCCCACTCTCAGTTCCCTCTCATTCCTGCCCCTACAAATCCACATTTCCTTGCCATGGAAGTCAGATTTCACTCCCAGATCCCTCTTGTTCCTGCCCAATTCCCACTCCAGGATCCCTCTCGGTTCCCACTCCTGGATCCCTCTCATTCCTGCCTCTGCAAAACCACATTTCCTTGCCATGGAAGTCAGATTTCACTCCCGGATCCCTCTTGTTCCTGCCCAATTCCCATTCCTGGTTCCCTCTCGTTCCTGTTCCTGCAAAGCCACATTTCTCTGCCATGGAAGTCAGATTTCACTCCCGGATCCCTCTTGTTCCTGCCCAATTCCCACTCCCGGATCCCTCTCGGTTCCCACTCCCGGATCCCTCTCGTTCCTGCCCAATTCCCATTCCTGGTTCCCTCTCGGTTCCCACTCCTGGATCCCTCTCGTTCCTGCCCAATTCCCACTCCCGGATCCCGAGGGTCCCCCCGTACCGGTTGGAGAAGTGGTTTGGGAGCTGCACCACCTCGGTGATGGCCTCGGGGTTGCGCCGGGCGATGCCGCACATGTCCAGCTTGCTGTAGCACTCCTCCTGCACCTCGGAGATCATCCTCTGGAACGTGGAGCACCTGCGGATGGCCAGGAACACCTTGGACGTCACCCCGTTGGCGATGCACTTCAGGCTCTCCTTCACGAAAGCTTTTCCCTGCAAATGGAAGGAAAATCTCAACTGCAGCAGAATCCCAGGGAATCCGAAGGAAGGGGAAATGTTACGGATACTCCACCAGGCCTGGCTGTGCTAATTACCCTCCTGCAATTACAGACACGGCAGGGAATGGCACTTGAATGCTCCCAATCATTGCAGAGTTGTCACTCTCAGCAGCTGGGATGCTCAGAGCTCCCATTCCCAAAGGATTTAGGCAGTGGGAATCTTCAGTCTGGAAGTGCCAGGACCAGAGATGGAGCAGCTCTGCCCCACAGATCCACTCAACACCAATTTAATGCCAGCAGTTTAATGCTTCTGGTTCAGACCCCAAGAGCCTTCACGAGATTTTAAATCTGTCCTTGGGAGCAGGAGCACGGGGAACAAGGGGCTGTGTGAATTTGGGGAGGAAAGCACAGAGGGAAAGGGATTTTGGCAGAGCCCAGCCCTCCAATACTACCCCGTTTATTCCCCCTGCAGCCCCAACCTGGCCGCGCGTTCCCAGACCCAAACACTTCCAAGTCAAAGCCCAGCCCCGTGCCAGGTCACAGAGGAGATTTATTTTGTTAGAAGAACATTTCTATTTCCTCCTGGAGAGGAAACCTCGTTCTCCAACCCACGGAACCCTCCGTGCCAAGTCCTCACACGGAGCAGGGAGCAGGTGGAAAAAGAGCCCTGGAGGACGCGCTTGGAGCCAAAAATGGGGGCTGAGAGGAGCAGCCGAGCAGCAGGAAGGGCCGCAGGGAGGGGAGGGTTAATCCTGCCCAAAGCACAGCTTAAATTAAGGCAGGCATTGAGCAGAGCGCTTAGCACGTGCTTTAGAACCTGCCGGACTGATTCCCATTTATTCTCGGCTGGGTTTTATTTTCGGCCGGGTTTGATTCTTTTCTCAGCCGAGTTTGATTCATTCTCGGCCACGTTTGATCGCTGCCCGGGTTTTATTCCCGTGCCCTTCGTGCCCGGTACCTGAGTGTCGAATTTAGCAGCGCTGTAGAGGAAGGATTTGCAGATGTCGTACATCCCGTCCGTGTCGCACGTGGAGTTCTCCAGGCAGGCGAAGGCTCCGCAGCCCACCTGGAGGGCACTGTTCAGGCAGCGGACCACCTCGGCTGCGGGACGGAGAGCACGGCAACATCAGCATCGGCATCAGCGCCCGGGGAGAGCCAGCACCCGGGGAGAGAGCCCAGCACCCAGGGAGAGAGCCCAGCACCCAGGGAGAGAGCCCAGCATCCGGGGAGAGAGCCCAGCACCCGGGGAGAGAGCCCAGCACCCGGGGAGAGAGCCCAGCACCCGGGGAGAGAGCCCAGCACCCGGGGAGAGAGCCCAGAGCGAGCCCAGCACCCGGGGAGAGAGCCCAGCACCCGGGGAGAGAGCCCAGCACCCAGGGAGAGAGAGCCAGAGCGAGCCCAGCACCCGGGGAGAGAGCCCAGCACCCGGGGAGAGAGCCCAGAGCGAGCCCAGCACCCGGAGAGAGAGCCCAGCACCCGGGGAGAGAGCCCAGCACACTGAGAGAGAGCCCAGCACCCAGGGAGAGAGCCCAGCACCCGGGGAGAGAGCCCAGCACCCAGGGAGAGAGCCCAGAGCGAGCCCAGCACCCGGGGAGAGAGCCCAGCACCTGGGGAGAGAGCCCAGCACATGGAGACCTAAACCTAACCCACACACCAATCCTAAAACAAAACTTGATCTCAACACTGACCCTAACCCTAACCCTAACCCTAACCCTAACCCTAACCCTAACCCTAACCACAAACTTAACCCTAACTCGAATCCTAACCCTGACCCTAACCCTGACCCTAAACCTAACCCTAAACCTAAAGTGAGCCCAGCCCGTGGCCAAACCCTGCTCCGGCACCGCAGCGAGGGACGTGGCTCAGACCCTCTCCAATGCTCCAAAATCTGCCATGGAGCCAGATTTCTCTGCCATGGACTCAGATTTCTCTGCCATGGACTCAGATTTCTCTGCCATGGACTCAGATTTCTCTGCCACAGAGCCAGATTTCTCTGCCATAGACTCAGATTTCTTTGCCATAGACTCAGATTTCTTTGCCATAGACTCAGATTTCTTTGCCACGGACCCAGATTTCTCTGCCATGGACTCAGATTTCTCTGCCATAGACTCAGATTTCTCTGCCATGGAGCCAGATTTCTCTGCCATAGACTCAGATTTCTCTGCCATAGACTCAGATTTCTCTGCCATGGACTCAGATTTCTCTGCCATAGACTCAGATTTCTCTGCCATGGACTCAGATTTCTCTGCCATAGACTCAGATTTCTCTGTCACGGACTCAGATTTCTCTGCCATAGACTCAGATTTCTCTGCCACGGACTCAGATTTCTCTGCCATGGACTCAGATTTCTCTGCCATAGATTCAGATTTCTCTGCCATAGACTCAGATTTCTCTGTCACGGACTCAGATTTCTCTGCCATAGACTCAGATTTCTCTGCCATGGACTCAGATTTCTCTGTCACCTAGAAGAGAAGGCTCCATGGAGACCTCAGAGCCCCTTCTGGTGCAGAAAAGCAGATTAGAAAAAAGTGGGAGAGCGACTTTCCCTATGCACAGTGCTAGAACAGCTGGGATTGGTTTTAAGCTAAAAGAGGAGAGATTTAGGTCAGATATTAGGGAGAAAATCCTTTCTTGGAGGGTGCTGAGGCCCTGGTACAGGGTGCCCAGAGAAGTTGTGGATTTCTCATCCCCAGAAGTGCCCAAAGCCAGGTTGGAGCACCGTGGGACAATGAAAGGTGTCTTTGCCCATGGCAGGGGATGGGATGAGCTTTAAAATCCCTTCCAACACAAACCATGCCAGGATTTCATAATTCTATAACTCTATAAGTTCATGATTCTGTAATTCCAGGATTCTACAATTCCAGAATTCTCTAAGACGTGACCAGCACCCCAAGGAACAGAAATTCCAGCTATCAAACCCCTCGGGGATTAAAAAAAAAAGGATTAAAAGAGGCGGCACCTCACAGTCCTTGCTTAGATGGGGACCCAAATGTCCATCCCAACCTAATTCTCTCTTCAGGCATTTTCATCTTTATCCCAACTCCCTCTAAAGAAGGAGCAGGGGCGAGGGTGGGCCCATGGAAAGCTCTGGGTGCTGAGGTCTCTCCCTTGGGGAGCAGCCTGGCAGCACCTGGGCCACAAAAACTGGAAAATGAGATGGAAGTGTTGGCAAATGCCAACAAGTTGCCAGGAAATCCCAATTATTGGGAGGCACTTGTGCTTTTCTAAAATGCCTGAATTACCTAGGAAGAAGATTTTAGCCCGAGAGTCAATTCTCAGCACCCAAAAGGACTCGATCCAGCTTGGTGCTCAAACTGCCCTGGGAGTTCGCAGGCACGGCCAAAAGGTCATTTTTGCTGAAAATTCAGGAGGAGAAGGGAAATTTGGGCAGAGAAAGTTCAGGTAATGCAGCTCCGGGGATCATTAAAGCCCGGAGGCAGCGGAGGGTATCCGTGGCATCCCGGCTTTTTCTGAGCAGATCCAGTGCATTTGAACAATGAATCAGCAGAACTGCCGCATGATTGCCCCCAAATTAGCCGGGATTAACCTTGCAGGGCGAGCCCAACATCTGTCCCCTCCCGCGCCCGGGCAAGGCACGTTCATGGCTTTTGCAGCTCATGTTACCAGACATTCTTGGGGAAGAAATGCGAGCCCAGGCTGCCCCATCCAGCCCCGAGGTGTGGGGAAAGTGAGAACACACCTTGTTAAATCTGAGCTGTGTCCTAAAGAGAATTCTTTATAAGCGGCATTTTTTCCCTCAAAAAAGGAAAAAAAAAAAAAATTGAAAAAAAATCCCCCCAATGAACCCCTCGTGGTTCCGCGCTCTTGCTGACGTGCCTGAAGGGAGGAATATTTGGTAATTCATCCCCTCCCCGGTTCGTAACCTCCCGCAGCACGAGCCAGCCCCATAATTAGCTTTCCACAGGTTCCAACGAGAACTGCGCTCGCAGCAGCTCCGGGTGCGCGGAGCCCCGATTGTTTCGGGCACGGTGCGAGAGGGAGACCCCACGTTCCTATAGCAACCAAATACAAAAGCAAATGGAGCAAACACCCCTCTCCAACGCCGCAGAGCCTTGCGGATCTAAAATAAGGCAGCTGTTAATGAGCTCCGAATTAGAGCGTTAATATCTTTGCAGTGCAGCAGAAGGCAGATTTTTAATTCCCTTTGTTCCAGACAATGTCTCCGAGTTATCTAAAGCGGCAAAGTCCAGGCATCCAGGGCTCGCTCGCCAAAGCAATTTTTGTTTGTTTTTTTTTTTTTTTTCTCCATTGTGGAAGCAAGTTGGGGAAATGTCACCAACGCGTTTTTAGTGAGCGATCAGTTTGTGACAATCGCAGCGAGCTGGGGACAGGTTTTGGGCTGCTGCTCCGGCTCCGGCTCCCCCTCTTTGAACAGATGTTCACAGAACAATGGGGATTGTTCCAAACCCCAGAACTTCCTAAAAAGCAAAGCTTTAACAGGGAGAGAGACGCGTGCAAGCAGGGAAATAAAAACGAGGAGAAGTGCTCGGAAGTGGCTGGGGAGGAGGGGAGAGCCCGGGTCGCATCCTCGCAGCGCTGCCCTGCCCGGCTCCTGCGGGAGGTTCCTGCTCCGGCTCTGCAGCCGCAGCTCCTGCCAGCCCCGAGAGGAGCATTCGTGCTGCCAGCGACCCGCAAGTTTATAAGGGAGGGGAAAAAAGCGGGGGGGGATGAAAAAGAACAAGAAAAATCAGCAGCAGAGAAATGTGAGGCAGTTGGAGCCGGCGTTACCTGAGTTCTGCGCTGCCGCCCGCGCTTTCCTGGGGCTCACAGAGTCATTCTGCTCAGCTTCGTGGGATGCGGATGCACTGATCAGCAGCAGCAGCAGCAAACCAGACTTTAGGAGCATTCTTTGACAAGTTTCCGCTAAGTGTGGGGTTGGGTTGGTTTTTTTTTTTTTTTTTTTTTT